ATATAAGCTCACCTTTTGTCTATACCATGGCAATAGCCACCTAACTAGTCTCCCTAATTGTAGGTTTGACCACTTAACCTACCACTTCCACTTTACCTACCCTCCAGTTTTATTTTTTAAAAAAGATATACTTCAAAAGTTCACCATTACATTGAGGATGCATATCAAGTTACTTTTCCTGCTCAAAAATTGTCCTACTGACAGACTACCCCCTACTCCTGAGCCATGCAATTTACCATTTAGAGCAATGATTCTCAACCTTCCTAATGCTGCAACCCTTTAATACAGTTCCTATGGGTCACGACCCACCAGGTTGAGAACTGCTGATTTAGAGACTACTGGTTAATAAGCATATCTTCCCATCCATTTATACTCCACAGAAAGAGCTAAATTAAATAGCATTCCATGGCTTGGTGCCTATAGCACACTATTACAGGGCTAGCCACATACATGGAGAGTGGCAGGTTTGAACACAGCCCAGGCCAGTTAAACAACGATGACATCCGCAACAAAAAATAGCTGGGTGTTATGGCAGGCACCTGGAGTCCCAGCTACTTGGGAGGTTGAGGCAAGAGAATCACTTAACCTCAGGAGTTTGAGGTTGCTGTCAGCTATGACGCCACAGCACTCTACCACGGGCAACATGATGAGACTCTGTCTCAAAAAAAAATAGCATTTCATTTATGATTATCAACTTATATACTCAAGATTATACTTGCTTGAGGTCAGCCTCAAAGCAAAGAAGACTGGTGAAAGGAAAGTGAAAGTGAAACATGGGGGTCTTTCTCAAGGGGTGGGTGGGATAGGGAATGACACCAAAATCAGAAAGAGGAAATGAAAAAAAGGGAGATGTGGCAGACCTCTGATTACTTTGCAATTTTACTTAGTGCTTTAAGAGCAACAGATTCAATGCCATTTAGCCTGCCCTTGGCTCTTACACTGAACAATAATGTTGGGTTTCTATATTTATTCCGGAATCTTCAGATCTTAGCCTAAACTAGTTCAGCATGGGGACTTTCTTCCCCCTTAGGTTATAGAAAACGGAGAAAAGAAAAAGGAGAAAACTCAGGTGACTCTCCCACTCTGTAGTCTTCTTTCCATCACTTCATGAGAAGATACAAGACAATTTACCTATTTCTGGGAATATGGAGAACACTCACTAATAACAAAACAACTGCTTTAAAAATGGGCAAAAACTAAACAGACATCTCACCAAAGAAGAAATATAGATGACAAATAAGCATATAAACTGAAAGTCAACATCATATGTCTGTCACTAGGGAAATGCACTAAGATGGCAATGAGATACCACAACACACCTACTAGAATTGCCCAAATCCCAAACACTGACATTAAATGTTGGTGAGGATGTGGAACAAAAGGAACTCTTCATTTATTGCCAGTGGGAATACAAAATGATATAGCTGCTTTGGAAGACAGTGTAGCAATCTGCTACAAAAATAAACATAGTCTTACCAGACGACTCAGCAACCACTCTCCTTGTATTTATTCAAATGAACTGAAAAGTTACATCTACACAAAAATGTACACGTGAATGTTTACAGCACCTTTATAACTGCCAAAACTTGGAAGCAGCTAAAATGCCCTTTAGCAGGTGAATGGATAAACCAGGCTACATCCAAAAAATGAAATATTATTCATTACTAGAAATAATGAGCTATCAAGTCATGAAAAGAAAAGGAAACTTAGATGCTTATTACTAAGTGAAAGAAAATAATCCAAAGACTATATACTATATGATTCTAACTATAATGACATCCTGGAAAAGGCAAAACTACGGAGATAATGAAAGATCAGTGGTTTCCAAGGACAGGGTGGAGTGAAGGATGAAAGCCAAAGCAAAGTATCGCCTGTGGTTCAGTGGGTAGGGTGCTGGCCCCATATACCAAGGGTGGCGAGTTCGAACCTGACCCTGTGGCAGGAGACTGTAGTTCCAGATACTTGGGAAGCTGAGGCATGACAACTGCCTAAGTCCAAGAGTTGGAGGTTGCTGTGAGCTGTGACGCCACAGCACTATACTGAGTGCAATAAAGTGAGACTCAGGCTCTTAAAAAAAAAAAAAAAGCCAGAGCACATAGGATTTTTAGGGCAGTGAAACTACCCTATGTGATACTACAGTGGTGGATACATTTGTCAAACCCCATAGAATGTATAACACTAAGCAAACCCTAAGGTAAACTATAAACTTTGGATGATAATAATGTGCCAAATTAGGTTCACTGATTGTAACAAATGTACTATTCTAAAGGACCCAGGTCAAGATCTTCTGACTTGGGTCTCTCCTTCTGCCAGAAGCTCTGGTGCTTTTTCTGTATTCTTTTCTGTATAATAAATCCTATCTTACTGCTGTAAGAAAAAAAATGTACTACTCCGGTGTGGGATGTTGATACATAGTAGGAGAGAGTGTGTGTGTTTGTGGACAATGGGTATAAGAGTATTTTCTCTATACTTTCTAGTCAATTTTGCTATGAACCTAAAACTGCTCTTAAAAATATAGTTTATTTAGGCTCAGGGCCCATAGCTCAGTGAGTGAGGCACTGGCCACATACACACCGAAGCTGGCAGGTTTGAGCCCAGCTTGGGCCTGCTAAACAACAATGACAACTGCAACCAAAAAATAGCCAGGTGTTATGGCAGGTGCCTGTAGTCCCAGCTACTTG